ACTGTCAAGTGAGGCCTGGCCGCCTCGGCACTGCCTGGGCCACCACCTCAGCATCAACAAGAGACAACAAAGGACAACAAAGGAACATTCTGTAGTCGAGACTCGTTCTGCTCTGGGCTGAGGCATGAAGGAGATGGGTTTCCATTTCCAAATGCCAGGCTATTCTCCAGCCCCTGCTGATGAAAGCTTGCGTGTGGTGGTGATATTCCTGCCACATTCCATCGGACAAACTCTGAGCAAATGTCCAGATTCTCATCATGCACTGAGTTCTTGTATCAGATAGAGTGACGCTACGTAGGCTGTCCCTGGTGGCCAAGGTGTTGCTGTATGCACACTTCTCCAGAGACTCCTCACCTGCTGGGACCTGAGGCTGCTGGTGACTGCCTCCTGATACTCGGACAGCGAGCCCAATGCCTTGCCCACAGCTCTCCCTCCGCGCGTCCAGCTCAGTGGCCGAGGGGCTCATTCCTGATGGTGCTGTCCCCTCCCCCTGCCTCCTACTCCAGGGCTGCCTAGCTGCACTGCTCCAGGGGCGCAGCCCACATGATGTTCTTCCTGGGGCCATGCAAAGATGGGGTTCCAGCTCCTGGGTCTGTAAAGGGCTCACAGTCCTGGCACTTCTGTTCCTCAGCTCTGAGAATCAGAGTCACATTGTTGTCATGGGGGAGGGAATGGAGGCAGGAGGTAGTTCAGTGTGGGAAGTAATGAGACCAGACCCGCTGCAATGGAGAGGTGACAATTGTGCAGGAGGGCCCCTGGGGCAGAGACACACCGGGCAGAGCGAAAGAGGAAGGAGATCAGTTGTAGGGACGTCTGGCCTGGGAGAGAGAATGCTGGCGGCATGGCAGGAGGCAGGAGGCTGCACTGCAGGGGTGGGGCTGGTTTGAGTGGGCTGTGCGCCTGGAATGGCAGGGAGATCTCTGAGTTTTCTGGCTTTTAAGTAGGGATCCAGGTTCCTGGCATCAGGTCAGGAACGTGTTCTCTCGGTTTCTGTAAGGAGTTGTAGGGATTCATTGAGAAAAATGTGTGTGAGAGTTTGCAACCCGTGACACCCTGGGAAAAGGGTGTTGGCTGTCCGACTGCCAGGGCTGTCTGGGCAGAGCACAGGTTGGCATTCTCACTCTGCTGCTCGCTGCCCAGCTCGGCCGAGGCACCTCCCTCCAGGGCTTCCGCATCCCACCTCCAAAACGGAGATGGCAACAACTCCTCACAGGGTCGGGGTTGTCCTGCAGATGCACAGAGAGGTGGCCTTCCTTGGAAAGTATAACGTAACGCATGCTTGCAAATGCCGCTTCAGCTCTGGCCCTCCTATCAGCCAGGGGGGCCTTTCCCTGGCCCCAGGAATCCAGAGGTCTGGAATTGGTAGGTCCCCTGCCAGGGGTGCTGCTTCGGAAGAGGCTAGTGCCCAAGTTTGACACACCCCAGATGACTTACACTGCAAGAGACTTTCACTGGCTTCCTCAAACATGTGTTTGCCTCTCGCCACAATAAGCTGTGTGACCTCGGTGAAGTCACTTCGCCAATCTGTACTTCAGATTCTTCATATTCAAATAGTCAGATTTCCCAGAGTGAAATACCATGTCCCGTAGAGGGTTTCCTTCTGGCCTGCACCTGTGCCACCACCATCCCCTCTCCTACCAGCAGCAGACATCACTAATCAATTATAGCATGCGCGTTCCTGAGCACTGAGTATCTGGCTCTAGGAATCCAGGAGGTCCCTGCCATCACGGTGCCGTGATCTTGTGCAGGAGAGAGGTCACTACAAGAAAATGAAGTGAGAACTGCCACAGACCAGCTCTGCTGCCATGGGTCACCCATGCAGGTGGCAAGTTCGGGGCAAAGTGGGGTAACTCCAGAGGCCCTTGCTAGCTGAGCCAAGCTTTGACAGATGGGGCATATTTGGAGAAGGCATGAAGGAATGAGAAAGTTCCCAGTCACTCAGAACCACAGGCTTCAGGGCTGGTGGTGCCCAGAGGGAGGGACCAGTCCTCATTTTGTGGATGAGGCCCAGGAAGGCTAAAGGACTTGTCCGACTGTGTCCCCTGAGCCCCATGAGCCCTCCTCCCTCAACCCTCATACCAGCCAGTTTGTGTGCCCTCTCCTTCAGAGCAATGAACAGCTGGGACCCACCAGCAAAGTGCTGTCTCTCTGGAAAGTGGGTTGGTTTCCACCACGAGGGAGTTGGACGGTCAGGGTGTGCTGAGCAGGAGGCGAGGGTTGGAGGGAGGAGAGCTTGCTTACGAGCTCTGCCCCATCTTGAAGAAAAGGAAGAGAATTCAAAACAAAACAAATCTCCCACATCCTGTGGCTTCTTTGCCAAGGTCTCTGGTTGCTGGAGGAGGCAGGGGAGGGAGACACTGAGCTTGGTCTGGGTTCATTTCTGGCCCAGCTCTCCATGCCTTGCATGCAGGAGACACTTAGTGAAAGCAGCATTGAAACAAACACATTGATACATACGCCTTTCTCTTTTCACCCGCGAGGCTTAGCCTTGTCCATTTGGACTCTGTTTGGCAATCACTGGTGTGATGTTGGCCATGGTCTGCAGTCAGGTGGTCACCAAAGGAGACAGCAGGTGTGATTTTCGTGAGCTGGTTCCTCAGGAAATGGAAGTTGGGGGGTCTGAGACCAGCCTGAGCTGGCCTGGGTCTGTGCTGGTCTTCCCAGGCTGCTCTGTTTGCAGGGCATGAGGACCCAGGCCCTCAGCTTCCTACCTGGTATGTAGCTGTGGGGACATGAGAAGACCACGCAGGTGTCATCTGTTGACTGCAGAGGGAGGGACAGGATGGACTGGCCTCACAAAAGGAGTTTGTAGACGAGATAGGTGGTTGATCACTGCATCAGTTTGCTAGGGCTGCTTGGTTGCAGACTTCTGACCACACACTGGGCGGCTTAGGAAAACAGAAATTTATTGTCATCTCACAGGTATAGTAGAGGCCAGAAGCCCAAAATCAAGATGTTGGCAGGGCCATGCTCCCTCTGAAGGCCCTTGAGAAGGATTTGTTCCAGGTCTCTCTCCTAACTCCAGTAGTTCCTTGGCCTATGGCAGCATCATACCAGTTTTCACGGGGTGTTCTCCTGTGTGCGCTTGTGTCTCAAATTCCCCCTTTTTATAAAGAGACCAGTCACAAGGGACTAAGGCCCACCCTCATGGCTTCATCATAACTAATCACATCTGCAATGACCTTATCTCCAAATACGGTTGAATGCTTAGGTCCTGGGGGTTAGGACTTAAACATACAAATTTTTTTGGTGAGGGAGGTGCAATTCAGCCCATAACAATCACTGAGGAGCACCCCTGGTAGGCTCTGACCAGCCTTGGGGCCCCCAGCACACTCTCTCCAGCCTGTTATGCAAACACAGAGGCCTTCAAGTTACCCAGAATGCCTGTGCGCCCTGCCGTGAGCCATCCCCACAGTGGTTCCCTTTGCCCGGATGACCCCTTTCCTCCTTCTCCCTCTGCTTGCCTGACCCCCACGAATCCTTTCATGCCCTGCTCAGGGAAGTCCTTCCTTGACCTCCTCGGGAAAGATGCCTGTGCTTTGGTCCTACGCGGCACCCTGAATCAGAGCGCAGATCACACTGTATTGTAATTCTTCATTATGTGCATGTCATCTCATACCATCCACCTTTGTGTCTTCAGCGTCTGCCTGGGCCCAGCCACACATGGAAAGGTGCTCGTCCAGTGTGTGAGCTAGTGGCCCTGAGAAGTGGCAGCTCCAGGGACAGATCAGTCAAAGCACATGTCAATAAAATCAGGCCCTACAGAGGGGTTCCAAAAATGAAGACTGGGGACACTACCAGAAGCTCAAACACACAGAGTTAAGTGCACATGTCATACATTTACAGTTCAATGGGTTCTCACAAACTGAACACACCTGTGCGACCAGCACCCAATCAAGAAATAGAACATTATTAGTCCCCCAGGAAGCCCCTGGTGTCCCTTCCAGTTACTAGCTGAGTTCTGTCACCACAGATTAGTTTGCCTGTTCTTGAACTTCACGTAAATTGAATCATATAACAGGTACTCTTTTGTGACTGGATTCTTTTGTTCCACATTATGTTTGTGAGACTTATTTAAATTGTTGCATGTTGTTTTAATTCATCTATCCTCACTGCTGTGTAATAGTCCAATATGTGAACATACCGCAATGTATTTATCCAGGCAACTGCTGACAGGCATTTGTGTGGTTTCCGGTTTGGAGCTATTACGAATAGTGCCGCTCCATACCTTAGTGTACACATCTTCTGGTGAACATCTGGGCACATTTCTGTTGTGTTTCTATACCTGGGGGGCATTTCCTGGGTCACAAGGCATGCACATGTTCAGCCTGAGTGGATGTGGAAGTTTTGTTTTTAAAAAGTATGATGATGGAAACCAGACTGTAGGGGTGAGGAGGGATGGAGGGATCAGCAGTGAGGTCAGAGAGTTGGAGAATTTGTCAGGGAGCCCAAGAGCAAAGAAACCAAATCACAGAAGCTGCATGGAGTGAAGTTTTCTGTCTCTGCGGTAAATCACGTAGGAGCACTGGAGGGAGAACTGAAGGTTGACTCAGCGAGAAATTCGGTCTCTGGTGTGGCCTTGGTTACTGGGGGCTTCTCTGGGCGTCGTGCTGTACTCCGAACGAAGTTGACCCCTATGTGGGCCTTCCAGTGTGCCTGGCTCTGCACAGCTCCCGCCTGGGGGGAGGTGGCTGCCATCAGGCGAGCAATGGTGGTGGCGGCTCCTCAGTGGGTTGTAAGGAGCCCCTGCTAGGTGTGCAGAGAGAACCATGGGCTGCGGGCATGACCTTGACCCTGACTGCACACCTCTCTAAAACGTCAGCAAAACGAAAGCCGGTGTCTGGTGGGAGGCCCGGAGTCCCCAGCCGGGACACTCACTCGGGGTGGGGGGCTCACTCCAGCCTCCCAGCTGCCAGCTTGGGTCCTGGGGAGGTCCTTGCCCACTGTCATCAGCGTCCTGGCCAAGCAAATAACGGCCCTTTCACTCCTGTGTCTTCCAGAATGGCAGCAAAGACAACTCCCTGGACATGCTGGGCACGGACATCTGGGCTGCCAACACCTTCGACTCCTTCAGGTAACTCCTCTTCCTCCTGGCTGCGCGTGCGGCTCCAACTGGGCCCCGGCGTGGTCAGGGGGCCGAGCGGCTGCTGATGGCTCACTGATGAAGAAGCGGAGAGGGACGGAGGGCGGTGGGGTAGCAGGGATGAGGCCAAAGAGGAAGGAGGGCAGAGAGACGAGGCGGGGCTCGCGGGGAGAGACGTGAGTGGGGGAGAGCAGAGGGTCTCCTGGGGCCAGGTGGGGGCGCTGGACCCGGCCCCCCTTGCTCGCCTCACCCCCGTCAAGGTCGCCTGGCCGCCCCTTTGAGCCCCTTGTCAGAGACTCTGGAGACGGTTCGGCCCCTCTCCCCAGCCGTCCTCGAACCAGGCATGAAAACAGACTGGGGGCCGGAGGGACGCCCGCGCGGGCGTTTTATCAGCGCCCATTTCCCACAGCGGGGCGCAGCCGGGTGGGGGCTGGGCGCCTCGGGCTCCATCCTGCTTGGGGGCCCCGCCACCGGGTCAGCCTGGCGTCGGTCCCCCCATAACGGGGCTTGTCGCCCCCTCGCCTCGCATTTCATGCCTCCCTCGCCCTCTAGTGGTGCCACCTGGGACCTGCAGCCGGAAAAGCTGGACTTCACGCAGTTCCACCGCAAGCTCCGGCACGCGCCCAAGCAGCCCCTGCCGCACATCGACCGCGAAGGGTAAGGGGCGGCGGGCGCTCGGCGGGGCTGGGGCGGGGCGGGGCGGGAGCGCTGTCACCGGGCAGGGGCCTGTTCCTGGCAGGGAGGCTCTCCTGCCGCACTAAGGACACGCAGGTGGCCAACGTCCTCACCTGCCGTTGACTTCGTGTGTCGGAACTGCCTTCCATCCGAAAAGGTGGTGTCAGGGCCTGGGCTGCCCTTGGGACAGGAATGTGACTCCAACCAGACACGGGGGTGTGGGACAAATGGCTGCTGTTTCTTTTATTTTATTATTTTCTTTTTCTTTTATTTATTTCGAGGCAGGATCTCACTCTATCACCCAGCCTAGAGGGCAGTGGTGTCATCAGAGCTCACAGCAACCTCAAATTCCAAGGCTCCAGCGATCCTCCCGCCTCGGCCTCCCGAGTAGCTAGGACAACAGGCACATGCCACCAAGCCTGGCTAATTTTTACATATTTTTTAGAGACAGGGTCTCACTATGTTGCCCAGGCTGGTCTTAAACTCCTGGCCTCAAGCGATCCTCCTGTCTCGGCCTCCCAAAGAGCTGGGATTACAGACACGAGCACTGTGCCCAGCCTCTTTTATATTTTTAAAATAATTTTTATTGTGATAAAGTTCATATAACATAAAATTAACCATTTTAAAGTGTGTAATTCTGTGGCATTTAGTATATTCACTGTGTTGTGCACCTTCCACCTCTGTCTAGTTCCAAAATATTTTCAACACCCCAATATAAACCCCATACCCCACCCTCAACCCCTGGCGCCCGCTAATCTGCGTTCTGTTTATGAATTTATTTATTCTGGATACTTATAGAAATGGAGTCATACGTGACCCTTTGTTTCTGGCTTCTTTCCCTTAGCATAACATTTTTGAGGTTCATCCACATTGTAGCATGTATCAGAACTCTGTTCCTTCTCATGGCTGAATAATGTTCCATTGTATGGATGTACCACAATTTGTTTATCCCTTCGTCTGCTGATGCACACTTGGGCTGGTTCCACCTTGCAGCTGTTGCGAATAATACTGCTATGGACATGCATGTAAAGTATCTGAGTCCCTGCTTTTAATTCTCTGGGTGGATCCCTAGGAGTGGGATTGCTGGGTTGTATGCTAATTCTATGTGTAACTTTTTGAGGAACTGCCAGACTGTTTTCCACAGCGGCTGAATATTCCACATTCCTGCCAGCAACATACAAGGGTTCTGATTTCTCCTCATCCTCTTTCTTCGTGTTCAGTTATTATACCGATGGCCCTTATTTTTCCTTCTAGCCCTCCCTTTCACACTCTTGTCTCCCTGTCACTCAGATCTAAGCATAACTGACATTACTGGACACTTTCCTGTGTCTCACATGTCCTCCTGCTGCCATCTTTGCCCCACCCACCGCTAGTGGTCACCCCTTCCCATGGCAGCACTGGTCTGTCCTTGCAGTGTAATGAGCAACAACCCACAGAAAGAGGTGGTCTCATCCCCATTTTAGAGGTGAGAGAAATGACGCTTAGAGGGGCAAAGCCACTTGCCTAAATAGCAGAGCCATGACGTAAGGCCAGGCCTTCTGACGCCATCCAGTGCCCGGGTCTTTACACCAGGGTATCCTCAACCTCCTTGAAGTTTTCTGCAAAATTGTGTGTGCACGGTTGTGTTTTTCTCAGAGAGGCCCACCACTTGCATCAGACTCTCCCAGGGGACCCACCCTCTTGCCACACCTCCTTTTTTCATCGTCCTGCCCATTGTGGGTTCCATTTTTCTTTGGGTAGAGAGGGGAGATGGCTACTCTGCAGGGGTGGGGAACCTGCAGCCTCTGATTTCAAGATTGTTCTTTTTTTAAGCACAAAAGGAGGCAAGAAAACCTTCATCTTTCTCTGCTGCACCCCTTTTAATAAAAGGATTTGTTCTGTAAAATTTGGATTCAGTCAAAGGCCACACTTAAGGACCTAGAAGGCCACATGTGACCTTAAGGCTGCAGGTTCCCCACCCCTGGTTGAGTATGGAGACACCTGTTAGAGGGAGATAGAGTGTGGGAGGGACACAGCTGACCACCCGTCCCTCGCTGCCGGCTCAGCCCACCCCTCCAGCGGCAGCGGCACGGGGCTGTGCCTCCGCAGTCCTGTCTTCAGGAAAGGTGGCCTTCACTTAGCCGGTAGAATTCAGGAGTGGGTTTTCAGCAGAGGTGCTGCTTGCCATCTGCCCTGCTGTGGAGTGGATTGGAGGTTGGATCTGCCACGGGAACGGGAGGAGCACTGCACTTTTCTCAAGTCCAAAGAACCAGTCTGTCACTAGATCTGCTGAGTCCCTGGGTGGCTCTAGGTGCCATGAAAAAAATAGACACACACGCTATACAATATGGTCTTTGCCCAGAAGGATGTTCAGTCTACTGGGAAAAGGAGACATGAACCCATGATTGAGAATGTATAGAGGAAAAAAATGACTAAACTGTGTGGCGCCTATTTAGAGCGTAGGCAGTATACAGTATGATACCAGGGGTGGGGTTAAATAAAGTGAATGCAAAAGGGGTTAGAAAAGAGAGC